CCGCATTGGTGGACGTCTGATGTAACATGATGATGTGAAATATTTAATTGTAGGTAGCTTGAAAAGCTCTTTGACTGGTAGCCATTCTGATGTTACTAGTTTATTAATAGTATATTTTGTGTTCAATATATAGACCACAGTAAGACTTTATTAATAGTAAGAGTTTAGTTTATTAATAGCCGAATTCATATTAGAGACGAGAAACTCGTCTTAGACGGGAAACTCGTCTCAGACGGGAAACTCGTCTAATATGAATCCGGGCGCAGACGAGTTTCCCGTCTGAACTTTCCCGTCTAACTTACCCGTCTAAACAGACGGGAAAGTTAGTCGGGAATCTCGTCTAGACGGGAAACTCGTCTTAAATTCGAATTTACCCGTCCCTAAATTCATACTCAGACGGGTTTTCGCAGACGAGTTTCCCGTTTAAGACGAGTTTCCCGTCCCTAATATGAATTCGGCTAATATTTGACTTAACATCTTTGACTTAGTTAATGAATATGTGGTTGTTTTTTGGAGCTCAGGCTACTGGCAATTACTTGTTATGTATAGTTCTGTGTTTTTGGTAACAGAACAGTATATTTCCTTAATGCATTTGCTGCCATATGATTTTAGACGTTTTACAATGATACACTTATAAGCATATAGTACCAATATGACGACGATTCTTAATCCACAGGCAAACATGTTAAATTGCTGCTGAGTTTTAAAGTATTATCATCAATATATCTTTGTGCATTTGTAGTTGTTCTTACAGTGCCTGTGGATAAGAATCGAATGTTCGTTTGAGTTCATCAATTTAATCTAAATATGTTTTATAATTTGATTAATTAGGATTTAGGTTAATAGGTGTGTGTGGGGGGGGGGGAATCGCATTTTATGTACGGAAAATTCTAAAAATCCAGTGGCGGACTATCAACATAAAAATTATTTAGCGCCCACTCCCCCCGTCTGGAGTCGACCACGCCCAGTCGAGACCACACCCAGCGCCGATAACCCCCCGTCCACCAAAAAAATTTGACTGAGGTACGAAAAATCCTAGATCCGCCCCTGCCTACCCTGTGGAATTTCCACAGATTTGCCTCAAAAATTGGACCCTCCCATGGAAATTCCTTCATTTTTGGTTCAGTTGGGGGGGGGGAGGGCTATTGGGAAATCCACATGTCCTCAATAGGGGGAGGGTTGGTTTAAAAATGCAAATATGTACCATTTCGACCTTACAAATTTGCATTTATTGACTCAAATACCTTAATATCATCAACAGGAATGCTATCTGAATGATAAACAATAAAACACAGCATGTTTCTTTGTATTTTTAACGTGAAACAAGCAAACGTTGGCTGAAATACAATTACATCTTTATTTAGAACCACTGGAAAGTGGAAACAGAAGGCATAGCGAACGCAGTAGATCTGGCCAGTGAGGAGAAATAAAGTTTTTCTGCAATTGAGACGAGTTATCTCGCAGCCATTTTGTGCCAGAATGAATTGCAAGACTTTCTTTTACATTCAGAGCAGCAAACAGGCCTTGCCATTCTAGAGGAAATAAATAAATTAGTTTTTGAAGTAAAGATTCGCTCGGAAATTCTTCACACGCGGCCGCCATCTTGAAATTTAATATTTTCCCGCCTCTTTTCCAATTTCCCGCGCAACAAAACAAAGCAATCCAGGGGGGGGGGGTAACCATTGAACTATAAATAACTGGATTACTGGAAGGCTATAAACTCCTATGATCATGATGATTCGTTGGGTTAGCACTAGTTCCATTTGTGAAATTGACGTGACGTCATTTTCAGAAGATGGAAGGGGTGTTAAATGGCTATGTAACTAACCCCATAGGCGTACGGGGCGGGGGGGGGGCAAGGGGGGGGCAGCTGCCCCCAACAAGATTACAAAGTCGAAAAGTCGGGCAAATGTTCAGCAAAAGTCGGGCAAAAAGTAGTCAAAACAAGAAAATCTCTCTTAATAATAACCCCAGTTTGTTGGGCAAACAAAGCCAGTTGGGTAATATTCGCTTCATAGTCGGGCAGTATTTGGTTATTATAAAAATAAATGGGACAAATTCTGTAAATTTTGTTTGGGGGGGGGGAGGTCGCCAAAAAAATTTTTCCGGAAAAAAAATTTTTCGGCACTAGTCGGGCACAATCCGAAAAAGTCGGGCAAATTTCTTTCTGCCCCCCCTCCCAATTTTTTCCTTCCCGTATGCCTATGACTAACCCAAACCCTACCCCTACTCTAACCCCTAACTCCTAACCCTAACCGCAACCCTAACCCTAACCAAATTAATGAAAAAATCCAGAAAGAAACAACTTTAGAAATTGATCAAATTACGAAATGTCAGTTTGGTAGATGGAAACTAGTGAAAACCGATTCTCGTTGAAGCCGGCGCGCGGGAAAATCAGCTTTCAAAAGGACTAAGGATAGTTTCGAGGAGTGAAAAAAATTCGGTCAAAAGTTTGTTTTCGAAAAATTTGCAAGAAAAACACTTTTTCCATGGGAATACTACAATGATTGGGATTCAAACCAGGTTTGCCGATTAGCCAGTTCCGACTGTTTTACATCTCTCTGCAGCAAAAAGTAAGGAATTTTGCTTTTGTATTTTGAAAAAATGACGAAAGTTTGGACGTGCCGAAGGAAACCTCGCTCTTCAACTCAAAAAAAATATATACTATAAAACATTTTGACAGTCCCAAAACTTATGTTGTCCTAAACTCCAGGTATTCAGGTATTGTTATTGATCCTGAGCTTTTAGTCCTTGTTTTATTCCTTCTAAAACATAAATAAATTGGCGTTTTTCAAATGATGTTATTTTCGTCATCGCTCTTCTTGTTGGCCACTATGAGCACTTTGAATATGGCAATATTTTTGTCAATTTTCAAATGCTTTTTTTTCCGACCTTAAAACGTTCAATCTTCTTGAAACTTCGCATTCAGATGTATTTTGCATGGGTTTAAATAATTCCTGAGGTATGACATCTTAGTTTTATCTTAAACTTTCAAAAACTCAGAAAAAGCAGTCAAAACGCGCGGTTTTTCTGACCGTTCATGCTTATGGTCGTGTTTTTTCGTATTTTTTTTGCTAATTCGTGATTTGTTTGCTTTGCGAATATTAAATTCGTTTATCATACTATTGATATAAATTAAATTCGGTGGTATAACTAATATTTCGGGGCAAGATTTTTCTGATCAAAAAATGTGCATATTTTGAAAAAAAAAATTAAAAAGGACTGGGTCTACCTACTGAAAGAAGCTTCAAGCACGGCCTCAACTCCCCCCCCCCCCTGACTTAGCCTTCCAGTTATTTATAGTTCAATGTCACGGATGGGGACGCCAATGTAGGGGGTCTATTATAGGGGGTTGGATAATAATAATACCATAGATTAATTTAATTTACATATCTCGAGAACGAAAAAAGATAAGCTAGAAAAGTTGTCCAGTGAACTTAATTATTTTACAGTTTTACATATCCTTCAGCCTAAAATGCGGACTTAAATTCCGTTGCCATGAATTGTAGTAAACTCGCCTGTTAGTTCACGGCCATGGCTATGGGCATTCGCAAATATCACAGAAGACGAGACTTTATATAGAGGCAATTACGCCAACATTGAAGCAATTACATTGAGGCAATTACGCCAAAGCTAAATAAAGATTTAAAGAGTTTGGAAATATTTTTATTCGCCGTAATTTGGAGATGGAAAGATACTAGTCACGTTTTCAAGCATTTTGTGGGTTTTTTTTCAATAATTAATGTATTGTGCTTTTCAAAGATATTTCGTTATCTCGATAACATTGTCATGAAGCACAATAAGATCCTTGACCTTGTAGGTTTGCATGCATGGTAAAAATAAGATCCTTGACCTTGTAGGTTTGCATGCATGGTTTTGTTAACACGTTCAGTTCTTTGTCTCGGCTTTGGCTTAGCTTCTGTATTGTCAATGGCGAGGTCAATGGTGTTGGCTGTCGTGCGAATTTTATATATCTATATGAATAATGAATTATGTGAATTTGTTGACTATTGAGAACAATATTAAAACTCTGGTATTTTACATTTTAAAGCTTTTAAAATTGTTGCGTAAAGGCTTTCTTTTTAAGAATTGTACGAAAGAAATGTACCATTCTGTTTCTGCCTTACTCTATTGTCAATATTGATGAATTCTAGTTGCCAAAATATACTTCGGTTAATCAAGGAAATTTCAAGGAAATTACATCTCATTTCAAGGAAATTCTCAACCTCGTACCCAGGGTATTAAGTGAAGGTAATACCCTGGGTACGAGGTTGGGAAATTCTTTGGTAAAACCTAAAACAAGGAAATTTGAATGCTCAGTAAATTTTGAAATATAATTATATGCTCAGTAAATTTTGAAAAAAAAAAAAAAAGAGAAACGTGGCGGTACCACAGAGAAGAGATATACAGAGAGGAAACTGACACTCGATAACCTCAATTTTTGTGTCACGCGTTCCACGCGCCACGCAAAATCTTCCAGCCAGTGCCGTCGCTGAAATTTCATAGCAAAAGATAGGGAAAACGCCGTTCGAAAGGTGAAAATCGCTTTTTTAAAAAAGTGAGATACCCATGGAAGTTTTCTTCAATAAATTATTGTAGAATAACGGTAAGCGATCACTTTTATTGATTTCTTTTTATTAAAAGTGTTAACATAACATTTTATTTTGCAAAAGTTTGTTTTTCCCCCTACCTACTCCTTATTAAAATCGTGAAAAGCACTGGCAGCTTGGAATTTCAGATGCTTATGTATAAAAAACAAAGTAGCAAATGATTATAAATTCTTCAAAATATAACTCTTGCATAAAAAAAACATGAATACTTCTATAATATGTATAGTTTTTTCCTCTGCATGGTCAAAATTTAATAAAATAGTGAATTAAATTAATATAATTTTCTATAGTTAATAGACTGAATAAATCGGCGTGACACAATTTGCCGCGTGTTTCCTCTCAGTATATCTCTTCTCTGTGGCGGTACGTTACGCTTGAAAAGTTAAAACTGTATTCTATATGCACAACGATAAAAATGCTGTTGACGAACTATAAAGTAAAATTGTCAATACTGGTGACATTTTTCTTAGCTTTTCTATTTGCCGTTTCCTACAAGTATAACTATATTCTAACGAAGCAACAAAGCGTTTGTATAGACTCTCAAACAAATGGTGAAAGAACATCACAAAATTTCTCAAACGACGTTGTCACGCAAACCCTGAAAGAAAGTATCAAATGGTCAGAAATCAAGCGAAGACGAAGACTAAAAAATACCACAATTCACGAAAGATGGATAGTCGTGACTTCAGTATCGATGCCAACCGAGCAAGTGAAAGGATTGTCCACAATTAAAGGATGGAAGCTTGTTGTCGTCGCAGATGTAAAGACGCCAGATAATTGGAAGTATGTCAGTATAGTATATACATGAGTCGTTTCGCGAAAGTCGGAAAAATAGCATCTTGAGAAATTCAAGATATGGATTGAAACAATTTTGTTGCGACACAAGTTACATGAGAATTGCAAGGTGTATAACATGCAGACATTCCAACTCTCCCGATTTTACCGGGAGTCTCCCGAAAATTCAAGCAATCTCCTGGTCTCCCGATATTTATGAAATTCTCCCGATTTTTCAGAATATTCAGGAAATATCGTAAAAAATCATAAATATACTTGTTTTAGCACAGGGAGCAGAGGAGTCGAGTTTATCTAGCAAAACAAGACAAACACCGTCTTACCTTGTTAATTGTAGTATATTTCATTGTAAAATCCCAATGTTCGCATTAAAAATGCATATTTATTCATCAAAATTATCGAATATAAAACCAAAATATGAATTTTCAACATTAATATACTCCGCTGCCTTCAATTACCGTAGACTTGTATTTTCCGAAAAGCTAACGAACAATGGCCGAGATATCACAATAATCTAGAACTGCGGAGTATATTCATTTGGTGTTCATGTTACATGAAGTACGAATAACTAAACTTTATATCACTGCTTTATATGTTTCATGACAATTTCAAATGAAAGATATTACAAATAACAAGGTAATTAAGATGGCGTTTGTATTGTTTTACTAGATAAACTCGACTCCTCTGCTCCCTGTGGTTTTAGGCACCATAATTGTCTGTCTTGACCTTTTTATGAAGTTACTTTATGGCAATTTATAGGATCACTTACAACAACATACTCCCAAAATGCAGGAAACGCCATTTCAGAAGATTTAATTTTTATTATTTTTCTCCAGAAGACCTAGATTTCAATTCATTGAACAGTCTCCCTAAATTTTACCTCCAGTAGTTGGAATGTCTGAACATGCCTCAATCATCAAGCGTCGCAACATTTTTGTTGCATGGAGTAGAATCAGTGCAAGTTGCATCAAATGTGTTGCGTGATGTGACATAGCTTGCAATGTAATACTGAAATTTCAAATTGTTTTTCTCGACATTGCGTGCCACGTTGCAGTGCCGATATTGTGATTGAAATATTTGCATTAATTCAATTTTCACTCATGAGTCATTGGCAACCATCCGTATCGAAGCATTTGCAGACACAATTTTTAGCGAAGAATTTAATATCGTCGTAGATTCGCGTATAGTGGAATCGTAGCATAAATACGTGTCACGATTTCACGTAGTCATTACTGCTAGAAATTTGGTGGACATTCTCTCACCAAATAGGTAATCACCCGGGAAGGAGTGCAATTAATTCAATTTTCCTTGTCCAAAAGCTGGCATGACTAGCTTTAGAAAATAAGGCTCCTTGGCAAGCACAAATTGTCAATATTTTGCCGTACACAAGAGCAAATAATTAATTAAATTTCATCATAACAGCGAACTTAAGCATGTAGGACGGGAACGCGACAGCCAAATGATTGCAGCGGATGTCGCAGCTTGAAACGTGGCGTTGACGTTGTATACTGACAGGCTATCTTTAAAACAGGGAACGGGGAATCGTGGAATCGGGGAATCCGATAAAAATTTTATAAAAATTTAAATAAAAATTTTATTCAATTTACAATTGATGCAATAAAAGAAAATGAAGCTTAATCGAAAGTTTGACGTCACACCAAAATTGCAGGACACGAAGTCGTGAAAAAAAACCCAGTTTAATACTTTTAAATGGGCATTTAATGTAAACTTCACGCAGGATATAAACTAAAGCGAATGTGTAATAGCCATGATTGCGCTAAATTAAAGAGTTTCGGTATGCATAATTAATTGTCGCCATTTTTTGTTGGCACTTACATGTAATATAATATTTCATTGCTTTGATTGTGATTGCGATTGTCAAATATAATAGCGGTAACACGTTTACAAGTCGCATTTTCCTGCTGACATTCATGATGTAATATGATATTTCATTGCTTTGATTGTGATTGTCAAAAGTAATAGCGGTAACACGTTTGCCAGTCGCTTTTTCCTGCTGACATTCATGATGTTTGGAGTGCATGGAAGCTTTAAAATGCCATCGCTAATAAAGCGAAGGCAAATAGATCATGGTCTGCCTCCAACTGTAGTTTTACCAACCAAGACTGAAGACCAGAGATAAATTTGTACAACTGAAAGTCTGAAACTATACTTTAACAAAACTTTATTTGTAAATGTTGCGGAGTTTGTACTTTGCTCTCGCCTGATTATGTTTTTCATGACTTCGACCGTTCGAGTTGTACGGGAAAATAGAGAGTTTAAGTTCGACTTCGAATACCGATACCAACAACAGGTCATGTTCATGCGCTGTGGTCGCAAAAAGCACGAGGGCAAGCGCAAAAAGAGCGACTTCGCTCAGTCAATTTAAGCGTAGTACTGCGGAACTGTCCTTTCAGAACCATGTTGACTTAATTATAGTTAACTCTCTTTATTTACTTTACTTGATTTTATTTTTCTCAGTTTGTTGTTGGGGGGAGGTTGGGGGGTTCATATAATATTCCATATATTCTACTGTTTTATATATCACGCCCCTCCTGTAAATCAGCTTTTAGTTGTGCGAGGCTAGCGTGTTTTGATTTTAAATAAAATTGATTGATGATGATGATGAGGCACGTAGCGAAGCATCTGAAGTTGAGGGGTGTCGGAGGATTTTACCTGAAATTTGAACTTCAATGACAATGCTAAGAATTTACCTGAAATGCATTAATTATAATAGATAATTTTTTCCATTGATTTCCACTGTCATACTAAGTTTCCGAAGAAGGGGGTCTGTCTGGGGGGTCCTCCCCCTGAAAATTGTTACATTTTTCAAGCTACAGGACTGCTTTCCTGGCGTTTTCTAAAACAAATTCGCAAACGAATTGGATCTAAATTCACTGTATTTTAGAAAAATGGTTATCATTAATTTCACGAAAATAACGACTTTATTACGCAAATTTTACCTGAAATCTCAAACTGATCTCAACTTGAATTTTACCTGATTTTGTACCTGAGTTTCACAGTTGGGGCGATTTACCCCCTCCTCCCCCCAGTCGCTACGTCCCTGGGCGAGCGTATCGGAAGTCGCCACTACCGAAGTCGGCGTTGTTTGGGAAGTGGGTATTAATTTGTATATTAAGATAAAATAAACTTATAAAAAGCCTGTATTTCATAGTTATATTGATAAACGCGTTAACTATTGGTTATTTGCAATGGCAAGGTCTAACCACGAATCTTTTATTCGATCGATTGGTTTTAAAACGTCAATGTGCATGCAAAGTTCGTTTACATATATGTTTTCTGTCGCACGGTTTATTTTAAGAAAAATTTAGAACTGCACATAATAGAGATGTTACGAAGGCAACGGGTGTTTGGCAGAATAATGGTGTGGTTGGGTGGGAGAATTAGAGAAAGGCCAGACAAACTCGATTTTGGGTGAGGGAACTAGAGGGTGTTCCACAAAACAATTTGATACCAAGTTCTGGATACCAAATATCCGGGTTTTTTTAAGTCGATCTGGTTTGCACTTTTCAATATGCCCAGATGAATTCCGGGAGCCATATAAACCGGTGTGCCACGAATTATTTCTTCCGTACGAGACTGTAAAATCGATTGCGTTTGGGCGTCTAGCGATCTACTTAAACCAAAATCCGTCAGCTTGCAAACAACCGGGCATTCTGCATAAATGTGCGAAACGGATTCTTTGTCTTCGTGGCAATAATGCTGGTTGGTTATTAACACGTTGTTCGCTTTCAGATCTCTGTGTGCGATATCACGCTTGTGTAGATATTCGAGGGCGTTAACAACATCTTTCACGCAGACAACGAGAACATCAGCAAACGAGTCAAAGTTCCATTCATCATCAACAAAATGGCAGAAATCTTCGAAGTTGCTAACTTGTTTTTCAAGTCCGAATGGTTGGAAGTCAAGCATTACGTAATCCATCATGATTGCATAAGGACTATCCGAAAAGCCGAGAAATGCAGGTATATTTGCATGCGTAATTCCAAGAAGCATTTTGGCTTCTTTTATAAAGCGGCTTTTAGCGTCACCAGATTCGCTCTTAAGCTTCTTTATAACCACGGTCTTCTTGTCTTTTCCATATGTCCCGCAATGGACGGAACCGAAAGTGCCACTACCGAGCTCTTCTACAATTTTAAGTAATTTCCAATCAAATGGAGGCAGACCATGATCTATTCGCCTTCGCTTTATTAGCGATGGCATTTTAAAGCTTCCATGCACTCCAGACATCATGAATGTCAGCAGGAAAAAGCGACTGGCAAACGTGTTACCGCTATTATATTTGACAATCACAATCAAAGCAATGAAATATCATATTACATCATGAATGTCAGCAGGAAAAAGCGACTGGCAAACGTGTTACCGCTATTATATTTGACAATCACAATCAAAGCAATGAAATATCATATTACATCATGAATGTCAGCAGGAAAAAGCGACTTGCAAACGTGTTACCGCTATTATATTTGACAATCGCAATCACAATCACAGCAATGAAATATTATATTACATGTAAGTGCCAACAAAAAATGGCGACAATGCATACCGAAACTCTTTAATTTAGCGCAATCATGGCTATTACACATTCGCTTTAGTTTCTATCCTGCGTGAAGTTTACATTAAATGCCCGTTTAAAAGTATTAAACTGGGTTTTTTTCACGACTTCGTGTCCTGCAATTTTGGTGTGACGTCAAACTTTCGATTAAGCTTCATTTTCTTTTATTGCATAAATTGTAAATTGAATAAAATTTTTATTTAAATTTTTATAAAATTTTTATCGGATTCCCCGATTCCCCGTTCCCTGTTTTAAAGATAGCCTATACTGACAAGACGTGATAATCTGTATTTAGCCGAACGCCAACGGAGGCCGTCTAAAACGTATATGTGGCCTGTGGGATTTTAATTGTAAATTTCTGCTCATTTTCAATTTTCATGCATTAATATATTATTAATAGCTGTCCTCGATGATACTCGATATAGCAGGAATATTCGGGGTATACCGACATACCGAAAATATCGGTATTGAAACCAAAAATATCGCCTATCCGGCTATCTCGGTACGACTGAGTTTTTCAGTCATAATAACCTATTTATATACCGTATCAAATTTACACACCATGTATATGGCGAAATCATCAATATTTGTTTTTATACTTAAATGCAAAGTACCTAAACTGCTAAAGTGTAGACATTTCATGTTAAAACAGTGACAAGTGTCAGCAGACAACAGCTTCAAAATCATCATAAACGGTATTTCCACTTTCCGAATTATTCAAAATC